GTCATGCAGGTGTCAGCCACTCGATGTGTTGTGTCCCTTTCATGTCAATGTTTCTCTCTCTCTCTTCCTCTCTCTCCCTCCCACTCTATCTGAAGAAAAAATGGAAAAATGTCCTCAGGTGAGGATAAAAAAAAAAAAAAAGAAGAAGAAATAAACTCTTGGGGCCAATCATTGTCATCTAGAAGAAATGCTCACTACTTTAAGAGCACCACCACATCTATTCAGCACTGTATAGACCATCGTGAGAAGTAGCTAAGATTTATATATAATATAAAAATGGGAGTAACTGAGAATTTTGTCAATGGAGGAATAAAACCAAACTGACAACTCACTTAAATACACTGTTTGCTGAAGGTTGTTGATTTGTTGTAAGGAAATGAAACCAAACAAACAAAAAGGAGTCAACCGGTTATTTTATCTTTTTTACAGCAGTTGACTGATTTACCTGTCAATGGAGAAATGAAACCAAACCAGCCAAAAAAATCAAACTGTCAACCAGTTATTGTAAATTACTTTTTATGGCAGAATTGCCTTACAGCCAATGAGTTACTCAGGGATAATGTTTGCAGCAAAAATGCTTGTGGCAAAGATACTACAGTGAAAGTACCTGGAACAGGTTATTTTGGTGCCACTGGATTATGGTCAAGCAAATGCCCCTCAGAGGATATAGCAGTTCAGCTGAGACTTGAATAAGGAACCAAGCATGTGAAAGATGTGAAAAAAAGAATATTCTGGGCAGAGTGGACAATTAGTAAAAACTCCCTAAGTTGGGATGTTTGGTGTGGTCAAGGATCTGCCCAGTGGCACATACGGGAGGAGTGATTTGAAGTCAGAGAATTGACAGGACCTCAGTCTGTAAAGCCTTGCAGGCCAGGATGAAGAGTTAATTTTACACGAAGTCCATTGAAAAGCCTTTGGAGGGTTTCATGTCTGACATCGTGTGTTTTCAAAGATCACCCTGGCTACCATATGAGAAATTCATTGTGTGGAGGAGCAAGAAATACAAATTAGGAGGCAGAGAATTAATGACAGCTGTGACTCATATGCTAATTGTGCAAGACAGAAGTGGGTAGATTCTGATATGTTTTAAAGGTTGAGTTGATAAGACTTGGTGATAGATAAAATGTGAGGAAGAGAGAAAAGAATCAAAATGACTTCTAGGATGTTGGCTTGCAATTGAGTGGATCATGTGACTATTTACTAAAATGGTACAACTAGAAAAGAGCAATTTTTGGAGGTTGGTTTTTTGTTTGTTTGTTTGTTCTTCTCTCAGTTAAAAAAGTACCAGTCTTGCCTGGCCATTGTGGCTTAGAGGTTAAGCATCGACCCAAGCACCAAGAGGCTGCCAGTTCGATTTCTGGTCAGGGCACATGCTGAGGCTGTAGGCCGAATCCCCAGTGCAGGGCATGCAGGAGGAGGCCAGTCGATGTTTTCTCCCCCTCTCCCCCTTCCCCCTCCCTCCCTCTCTCTCAACTCAATAAAGAAATTTTAATTAATTAATTTTAAAACAGAAAGAAAATACAGATCTTAGTTTGGGGCAGTTCTACCAGCTAGAGTTTAATATTTCTGTTCAGGACTACCTGCAAGCTGGTTATGAAAAATATATGCAAAATCCCAGGACACACAGAGGAGCCAATAAAATCTGGTGCCTAAGTAAGCCTCCAGCTTGGGGAGGGTGGGGCGGGGGACTGCAGTCCGGGTCCTGGTGGGTCCTGGTCGTGAATGGGGTTGCGAATGGGGCGAACAAGGCCTGGAGATTGCCGTTTGGCATCCTGCCCACTGGGTAATGGGTCACAGGTCAGAGGAATGCTGCCAGGGGCTGTGGTCCAGGTCTTGGTTGTGGGTAGGGCTAAGGCCGGAAGTCATGAGTCGTGGGCCAGGTCGGGTCCCAGCCGCCTGGGGCCGACACACACAGGTGCGGCAGCTGCAGTGGCGGCGCCCCGCGCCCCTAGAACACTCTGTCCACGAACTCGCGGTTCTTGCCGAGGCAGCGCAGGTAGAAGACGCAGCGTCGGGCCGGGCTGCACCCAGGGTTCGGGCTGCTCAGCACGGCCGGCCGCAGCCCAGGGGCGTGAAGTTCTCCAGGTGGCGTCGCGAGATGAAGCTCTCGAGTGGCCCAAGCTCACATCCACGAGCCCTGCGACGAGTTGCAGCCCATGGTCCCTGAGTGCTGCTTCATCAGGTACTCGAACTGGGCGTGCGGGGGCCGGCCTCTGGGGGGGACCGCGGCTGCCGCAGAGCTGACCCGCCCGGCCGGCGAGGCCTCCGGCCAGGGAGCTGTGTTGATGAAAATTACTGGGAGGAAGAGCTCTGTTGAGGCCTGTTAAGGTTTAAGGGCCTTACCCATTGTGAAGAGACGGGGAGCGGGGGGTGGGGGGGGTCATCGGCTTACAGGTCTCTGAACCCCAGAGGGCCTTGTCTGAGAAGCCAGCAGCTCGAGGTTCTGTGGTATCGGCCCCCTTGGCCGAAGTTGTGGGGGGGGGGGGCGCCCTGGTCTTCGGCTTCTCTACTAGGTCCTGATGCCACAGCGAACATGCCTCGGCCTGTCAGAAATAGGAAGGTCGTTGATTATTCAGTTTCAGGAATCTGATGATGCTGATGAAGGTTACGAAAGAGATTCGGGCCCTCCAGCCAAGAAAATACAATCATCTCCACGAGAAGCTGAAAGAAAGACGCGATCTGGAAAGAATTCACAGGAAGATAGTGAGCACTCAGAAGAAAAAGATGTGAAGACCAAGAAGCATGATTCTCACTCAGCAGAGGACAGTGAAGATGATAAAGAAGATAAAAAATGCGCCAGCAACGGCAGGCAGCCTCTAAAGCAGCTTCTAAGCAGAGAAATGCTCGTGGGAGATGTGTTCGCGCCATTCCAGGAGAATTCCGGCAGCGATGAAGATTTTCTAATGGAAGACGATGATGATAGTGACCATAGCCGTTCGAAAAAGATGGTTAAGCCCTGACCGGTTTGGCTCAGCGGTTAGAGCGTCGGCCTGCGGTCCAGAGAGACCCTGGTTGGGTTCCCGCTAAGGGCACGTACCGCGGTTGCAGTGTGTCCCCAGCCCTGGTTGGGTTGTGCGGGTGGCAACTACTCGATGTGTCCCTTTCACGTCGATGTCTCTCTCTCTCTCTCTCTCTCTCTCTCTCTCTCTCTCTCTCTCTCTCTCCCCCCCCCCCCTCCCACTCTAGCTGAACAAAATATCAAAAAATGTCCTCCGGTGAGGATGAAAAAAAAAAAAAAGGTGGTTAAGAAGTCCAAACCTGACCAAACCTGAGAGAGAAGAAAAGAAAATGCCCAAACCCAGGCTACAGGCGACAGTGACGCCAAGTCCTGTGAAAGGCAAAGGGAAAGTGGGTCGCCCCACAGCTTCAAAAGTATCAAAGGGAGAAAAGATTCCTTCTCCCAGAGAAGAAGATGAGGAGCCAGAGGGTCTGAAGATGAAGCCCAATCTGGGGAGGATTAAAAGTAATGGTTTGGAAGAGATTTTATTTAAAAGAAAAAAATAGAAAACAAAATGGGGGACAAAAAAAAGACATAAGATAGAACATAGTTTTGGCTATGGCTTTAACTCATAGACTTTCAATGCTTTTTTCCCTTTTGTTGAAAATAACATTTTCTCTCTCGCTTTATTTTATTTTATTTTTATTAAGAAAACCTTTGTATGTTTAATTTACCTTTTTGTCTATTGGTCTTTTCTTTGCCACCACTCTCTCTTCCCTCCCTTTTTCAAAGAAAGCCATGTCAAATTAATCACTAGATCGACTGCTTCATCTTTTTATTTTTAAAGGCTGGTATACCACAGTTGTAAAGCAATAAGATTTGAGATGAACACTATGGAAATGTTGCTTTTTGCTAAACAGTAGCAAGTTGAGCAGTAATCAAAAAAACATAGAAGGGTATTAGTTAAAAATGATTGCTTCTTTCTCTACTTGGACTTTTTAAGAAATCAGTTGTCATCTAATACAAGTTTATGTTTTTATGTTTTACCTTGGGGGAAGGTCAGGGAGTGGGTTACCTGACCTTGTTTGAGGGTGGTTTTTTGTTGTTTTTATTTCATCACTTGTTATTTCAGAGAGATTCAGAGCCAGTGATCCTTTTATTCTACTACAGTCTTGAAGGAATAAAAAAAAAAGACAAAAAATAAAAAGTTTAAGGGCCTTTTACATATCCAAGTGTGGATGTTAGGTAGAACGTTGGACCCTGGAGTTAAGAAGAAATGAGATAAGTATTCGCAAATACCTAAAGAGAGTATGTTATGGTTATGTGTATATGTGCTATTTTATTTTTTCCAGTTAAGTTCAACTACTTGGTTGAGAAGAAGAAGAAAGGACTTAGGATTGATGTGACAATGGAAAACTTTGAGATCTGAAGTATACTGTGAAAGGAAAAAAAAGAAGGGTTAAAGGATGGTGATCTTGATAAAGCAGGTGTGATGGAAAAGGAAGAGCAGAAAGAATTGGAAGATGTTTTTAAGGTGTGGCTATCAAGATACTAATATTTCAAAAGCAGAGTGATCAAATACTGAAATTGCCCTGATTATGGTTATTGAGTGTGAAATGAGAGAGATCATTGGGACTATAGAAATTTTAAAATGTCAGATTAGGATTGGGTAAATTGTTCTCATATATGTTGAAGTTCTCAGGATAATAGTAGGAATGGGGTAGAAAAGACAACTCAGCAATGACCATGAGGTGACAAGGACATGGCAAGATTAAGTAGCTGGATAGCTTGAGCTTGAGTGAGTTGTAGGCAGGAAGGGAAGGATTTTGAAGGAGGTAGCAAAGTAGATGAGACAGGAAAGAATTTCTGATAAAACTTGATTTGGATCCCTCATATCCCTGAACTGCACACTTCTTCCATAACCATCTCAGTTTTTCAAGTGCTACCAACCTCACCTTTCCAGGGCATTTGTGCAGATGGTTGTCAGTTAAGGAGGAAGGCACTTAGTGTTTTAGGAACCAGGAACATTCAAAGATTTCTCTGTGGACTTCACTGGGGAGAAATGGGGGTCCCCTGGACCCTGCTCAGAGAAGCTGCACAAAGCTGTGATGCTGCAGAACTACAGCCACTCAGTCTCAGTGGGTAAGAACATGAGCCTGGACACCTGCCCACTGAATTCTTCGTTTCTTCCATTTTAAATAGTGATGGAGCCCCAGGAGTTGTGGTTCGGGAACCAGAGTTTCCTAATTTCCTTTTGGCACAAAAGGATGTTTCTGTTTATTCTAAGCAGCTAAAGAACGTGACTTGGTAAGAATTGGAGAATGGTAGCTTTACTGAGTTATCAGAGAAACCATACCTGATCCATCCCTAATAAGCCAGAATTTGGAGCTGATTTACTTTTTGCACAGTTACCCAATCCCTCTGTGTTTCCCAGATATGACTGTTCAGTTGCAGCAAGTTGAAGATAATTATATAATGAAGAACGAATTCCAAAGGAATCAGGGAGGCAACGTGGCAGGTTACAAATCCAGGCTAATCCATGAAATACATAGGTGTCCCTGGTGTGGCTTAATGTTCTCTCTCATCGATGTTTCTATATCTCTCTCTCTAAAAATCAATAAAGAAAAAAAATTTTTTTTAATAAATAAATAGCCCTGGCCAGTTTGGCTCAGAGGTTAGAGCGTTGGCCCGCAGACCAATGAGTCACGGGTTCAATTCCCATGAAGGGCGTGTACCTCGGTTGTGGTTCGTCCCCAGCCCTGGTTGGGGTCGTGCAGGAAGCAACCAGTCGATGTGTCTCTCTCACATGGATGTTTCTCTCTCTCTCTTCCTCTCTCCCTGTCTCTCCTTCCCACTCTATCTGAACAGAGATGGAAAAAATATACCCTGGTGAGGATTAAAAATAAATAAATAAAATGTGTCAGAGGTTCTCTTTGAAGATTTCTGGTCTGTGGAGAAAGCTGAGGCTTCAGGGATACTTTCCACAAACTGATCTGCCTGTATCTATTCACTTACTCTCCCTTCTACCTTTTCAGAAAGTTGTCATCTTTCTCATTCACACTGACTTTATCTGTACTCGATCTTTTCCCACATTTTCTCCACATTGGTCTTGTACCATCTTTGCTTGGACTTTATTTTCATTAAAAATCCCCCTGCTGCCCTGGCCAGTTTGGCTCAGCAGTTGCAGCATCAGCCTGTGGACCAGAGAGTCCCGGGTTCAGTTCCCACTAGGGGCATGTATCAAAAAAAAAAAAAAAAAAATCCCCCTGCCCTGCAATATCTAGTTTCCTTTGCTTCTTTTCTTACACATTCAGAGACTCATCCGTCTCTCTTTCTGAATATAAGACAATATTGTGGTGAGACAAAAATCCCATATCCTAAAGATAGGAGTATAATTCATACGGTTTTTCTCAAAAACCTTTTGACTGCTTGAAGCAAAGAGCCTTAAACATTTTTCTTTTTAATCCTCACCCAGGAATCTTTTGTGTTTATCTTCAGATAGAGTGGGAAGGAGGGAGAGAGAGAACATCAAAGTGAGAGGGACACATCGACTGGTTGCCTTCTGCACGACCCCAGCCAGGGCCGGGGCCAAACCACAACTGAAGTATGTGCCCTTGACCGGAATTGAACCCACAACTCTTTGGTCCACGGGCCAATGCTCTAATCACTGAGCCAAACTGGCCAGGGCATGAGCCTTAAACATTTTTGATGAAATAATTCATTTTTAGGTATCTACCCTAAGGACTTAATCAGTAACTCCAACTGAAAATTGTGAACAGTCATTATAGAATTATTTAATATAGTGAAAAAATTACCAAATATATCAGAGGGTCTTGGTTCTACAAATTATAGTGATTCATACAAGAGAAAAAGATGTGGCCATTAAAAAATTACTGATAAAAACTTTTTATTGAATTTATTGGAGAAACATTGGCTAATAAAATTATATAGGTTCAGGTGTACAATTCTGTGTCATCCTTATATGTATTGTGTGTTCTCTACCCCAAGTCAAGTCTCCTTCCATCACAATTTATTTCCCCTATACCTTCTTCCACCTCCCCCAACCCCCTTTTCCCTTCGGCAGTCACCATACTATTGTCTGTCTCTGAGTTTTTACAGGGTTTTTTGCTTACTCCCTTCACCTTTTTCACCCTGCCCTCCAACCCCCTACCCTCTGACAGCTGTTAGTCTAGTCTCTGTATCTATGAGTCTGTTTCTATTTTGTTTGTTAGTTTATTAGATTCCACATATAAGTGAAATAATACGGTATTTGTCTTTCTCTGGCTGGTTTATTTTACTTAACATAATACTGTCCAGGACCGTCTATACTGTGACAAAGGGTAAGATTTCCTTCATTTTCATAGCCGAGTAGTATTCCATGTGTAAATGGTACCATAGCCTTTTTATCCACTCATCTACTGATGAGCACTTGGGCTGCTTCCAATCTTGGCTATTGTAAATAACACTGCAGTGAACATAAGGGTACATAATTCTTTCTAATTAGTGTTTCGGGTTTCTTCAGATATAATCCCAGAAGTGGAATCGCTGGATCATAAAGCAGTTCCATTTTTAATTTTTTGAGGTAACTCCATACTGCTTTCCACAGTGGCTGCACCAGTTTGCATTCTCACCAACAGTGCACAAGGGTTCCCTTTTCTCCATCCACATCCTGCCAACACTTGTTTGTTGATATATTGATGACAGCCAATCTGACAGTTGTAAGGTGATACCTTACTGGAGTTTTAATTTGCATCTCTTTTATGATTAGTGATGTTGAGCATCTTTTTATATGTCTATTGGCCATCTGTATGTCCTCTTTGAAGAAGTGTCTTTTCAGGTCCTTTGCCCATTTTTTTAATTGGATTGTTTGGTTTGGGGGTATTTTTATAAGTTCTTTATAAATTTTGGATAGTAACCCCTTATCAGATGTATCATTGGCAAATATGTTCTCCCATTCAGTGAGTTGCCTTTTCATTTTGTTGATGGTTTTCTTTGCTGTGCAAAAACTTTGTAGTTTGATGTAGTCCCATTTGTTCATTTTTGTTTGTTTTTTCCCCCCCAGGAGATATATCAGGAAAAATACTATTATGAGAAATGTCCAATATTTTACTGCCTATGTTTTCTTTTAGGATTTTCATGGTTTCGAGTCTAACGTTTACGTCTTTAATCCATTTTCTTAATCTTTGTAATTAGATGGCAAGATATATGTCTATCTACTAGGTTGAACCATGTAATATTATCATTTTGTAGTAAAAACAGACATTCTACAAAAATGACAGAAGAAAAGTATCCCTCAGTATCTTACCAATTCTTTTTGCCTTTAAATTCTTTTAAATTTATTAACCTAAGTCCCACAGATGTAATCCTAAAATGGGTTCACTTAATGCTTACATTATGGTAACAGCTGGCCAGATTGTTGACATCATTCTTCAAGTTCAAGTTAGATGTCATGAAGAGACTTCTCCCCCTAAGCATGTCATTTATCATGTCATGCTTTGGATAAAAAACTGGAATTACCTTTAATTGCTAGTATAGAATCTCTAAACTCCCCACTTAGCTTTGGAGGTTCTTTGTGCCTTGCTCATGCCTGTGGAGCATTGTTCTCTGATGTCCCAAGTTTACCCTCCTAACTAAGCCTGTCTTCCTGAGGTTTTCCATGCTTTCTTGCTCTGGAACCTTTTACTATAACATGCTCTGGTTCCTGATTAATTTTGCCTTTTAAAATTTTATTCAAAGTCCACTACCTGCCAGAAATCTTTGATCAACCCTTCCACTCAACCCTCTTCTCAGAACTTTCCATTTGCCCTGGCCGGTTTGGCTCAGCGGTTAGAGCATCGGCCTGCGGTCTGGAGAACTTTCCATTTATATCTCACAGTCTCAAACCTGATTACACATTATTTTGAATGCTTTCTTTTTAACTATCAGATCTACAGATCTGATTTATTTTTCTTGTTTCCAGCCGGTTTCTGCAGGGAAAGCAATGTATCTAATACTTCCCATGCTATGTGTACATAGTCAAAATTTTAAAATTGACTGCTGTGTTTAGCAGGGAAGAAATATTTCTTACAGTCTTGTGAAAGAGACATAAAGTAAACACAATATATTACTATAAATCGAAAAGTCTTAAGAAGACAGTGCACTCTGAGAAAAGAAGGGGACGGGATGAGGGTGATGAGTTTCAGGGAAGGCCTGTGAAGTGACATTTAAACTGATACCCAAATTATTAATAAGCATTAAACAGGTTACTGGTTAGGGGAAGAACACTCCAGGCAGAGAGCTGTGCAAGGGAAGACCTGAAGACCTGGAGGTAACAGTGTGGCTAGAAAGAATGGAGTGGGAAGGGGGGGGGGGGGGGTGATGAGAGCCTGGCTCATTTGTAGCATTGAAGGCATTGGTAAAATGTGTGGATTCGCCCTGGCTGGTGTGGCTCAGTGGTAAGAGTGTCAGCCAGAGCACTGAAGGGTCACGGGCTCCATTCCCGGTCAAGGGCATGTACCTGAGTTGCAGGTTCAATCCCTGCCCCAGTCAGGGCACATACGGGAGACAACCAATCTATATGTGATGTTTCTCTCCCTGCCCCCTCCTCCTCTCTGTTCTTCCCCTCTCCCTCCCTCCCTCCTCTCCACTCTCTAAAAATCAATGGAAAATATATCCTCAGGTAAGGATTAACAAAAAAGAAAAGTGTGGATTCATGTTAAGTTCAGTGGAAAGCCTGTGGATCGACAGAGTGGTATGATCTGATTTACCCAGTACCACTGGGCCTGCTTTGTACAGAGTGGTTTCCAGAGGCACAAAGTGAAGTAGGAGATGTCTCCAGTTTCAGGCTCTGCTCTAAGCTTTCCTTTTTAATTGATATAAAATTGAACATACCTGTCCAATATTTTTATGCAAGATAAACATGTCTCAAAAATCCAAAGAACACAAGTATAACATGAAATGAAATCACCAGTGTTTATCCTGTTTTCTCTATGTACTCCATAAATATGTGTGTATATTACAAATATACATGTTAAAATTTTATGAGATTATACAGCATGTATTTTTCAACTAGTTTTGTGTAATATCTTAGAGATCTTTGTTAAGTCATATTAACTCCCTGTAAAAAGACCTTTTTACTCATTATGTCAGCATTTTCTTCTAAT